GCATTATTAGCATGATTAAAAGTGATCGATTAACGGAAATGAATGGAAAGTGAGATATCATTGGGACTCAGTTGCTAGTTCTGCTGTTTCAATTAGTGAATAAATTATGATGCTTAAATGTACATCGAAATTAAATAGGTAATATTCTAATAACTAACTAATGGCATTCAACTAGTAAAATTAATGTTAAAATGAATAGTTGCCTGTGCCAGCATTGTTGTTGTATATGAAAATACTGTAGATTAATAAATCATCTCATATGGACCTTAGAGTTTGGTCGTATCTCAGCCTTTGATCGAACCACTATATATGCTTGCAATCATAGTGAGTTTCTAGAATCGTTAAGAGACTGTGGGAAATATCAACAAACAGGACTGAATTACATAAAAGTGATAACAATGTAATCAACTTATTTAAACTTCATTTCTAAACTTAATTCTGGCCAATCTTCGTTAACATTTCAATTCTCGAGCTTGAAACCATATGAGCTAAGCTCTATATGTGTATTCGTACGGAGCTCCGAAATGGTATTTTGTAGTTGTCAAAATGGAAACTGATACTTAGCATTCGTAAAAATGAATGGATTCGTTTTGGTAATCCTTTTCTATATTTCAGCCTCCTCGTAGAAAGTAAAGTGCTACTTAGATTATATTCATTGGTAGACCTGAGACTCAGATATTCCCACACTATAAACTTCTTAAAGCGAATTTAGAGCCAAACTTACGGATCTTGACAACTTCTGAATTATCTATTGTGCAACCTCATTAGCAATTATTCAAAAGTCTTAATGTATAAAGTATGTGTCCAAACGAATCTGGAGCAGAGTAATTTTATGTTGAGTATTGTCCGCGCTAAATGTAGACTGAGACTCGAATCTGTCCAGTGACGCCTTAAGTTCCACATTCCTGGGAGTGATTGCATCTAAGACTATAAATCTAGATACATCTAGTAAGGACTTGAACTTTTATGTGAGCAGAGACAGAATGAATCTGATCGTTTTTTTCAAGATACTAATTAAACTGATGGAATCCATGATGAAGAATCACCTAGTTATAATATTCATAACTCCATCAAAAGTAGGGTTGTGTGATTCCGAATCTAATCTCTATATAAACTAATCTGCGAATATAATTCGAGACAGAAAACTTTTTGATCATGGGCATTATTGAGTACATCTATTAAGCCTCCTTCCTCGCTGATATCTAACCCTAACGCTGTTCCTGGTTCAGGAACCTTTATGGAGATATGTCTGTCAAGGTCAACTTAGTAAGTTGTTGTCTTATCTCCTGTTTTCTTCTCCTCATCAGTTGTAGTCATTCATTAAGTAATTTGTAACGAAATTGGGACTGATCTTCAATCTAACATGACGTCCTAGTCTTCCTACTAGAAAATAATGGTTCCAAGTTGCCGCTTCCCATTATCATAATAACCGTAATAAAATGCCTTTCAGAACAATTTATGAACTGAGTCTGTTCAAACGATTTAACCTTATATCTCCATCAGTTACACGTTATATTCCTTCAGTTACTAACCTGATCGTGCCAGTATTCAGGCATGTTTTGTCTGCCATTCGTTTCACAGTATTATTTACTGACTTACTTGCTGTTTAAACTTCTGCTGAACCTGCTACTATATAGTCATTTCACAAGAGAATTATTTTATTTTTGGTATAAGAAACATTGCTTAAATAAGATGCGCAACACATGGGGTAACGAATTTCAAACACTTTCTTGACTGGTTAAATGATAGGCATTATAAAAGTCTAATTTAGCACTACAATCAGGCACTGAATTTGTGCAGTCTTTGCGCTTATATGTTGTGATTTTAATTGAAAAATTCAGAAGAAATTCCCTACAGTCTTTATTTAGTTTGCGATATTATGCAAGAAGCACTTTGAAATGGGGCTTTAATTTAGAAGCATACTAATCGTCAACTGTCAGTGGGATAAATACATCACAAAACATTTAAGGATAGTAGATCGAAATTTCGAACTGCGCCTGGAGCCCTCCTGGGGTCCCAAGCCGGTTCTAAGCTCAGATCAAAGAGGGTTGGGCATATGGTTAGCAACCCTATACAGCAGAACTTAAATTTGCTATAAAAGCGCTAACTAGATAGAACAATTTAAAACATTTAAGATGCCCTCGGAGTGTGAAGGTTTTTAGTCAGAAGAGTTATGATGCCTCATGATGAAAGCAGAGTTTATTTGGAAGTCGCGAACCGATGTTTCTTCTGATAACCAGAACAACAATTAATATAGGTGCATGGAGTATTTGCACATTGTGGGAAACCGGAAGAGTCATCCAAGTTGCTGCAGCAATGAGAAAATACAACCTGGTGGTATTTGGAATAGGTGAAGCACATTGAAAGTAGGTTGGACAAAAAAGACTGGCTTCAGGAGAGATACTCATGTACTCCGGACACGAAAGAGAAAAGCTTATGGACTCGGGACTATCCTTCAAAACAAAGGAAAGAGGGGATTACAATGAATGTCATCTAGTGCATTACACCCACCGACAATGGCTGCAAGAACCAAAAACATTAATTCTTTGAGAGACTGCAGTCATTCGTAAAGAAATGTCCAAAGAATGATTTGACCATTTTGATGGAAGACACAGACACCAAGGTTGTAATGAGTCACACCGGATATGAATATACCGTAGGAAGACATGTACTGATAAGAAGGAACGATAACGGTTTGCGATTCTCAAGTCTATGTACTTTAAACAAAATGGTCATCAGTGGCACCATATTCCCACACAAAAGCATACCCAAAGCTATATAGATTTCATCGGATCACACTACACAGAGACAAATCGACCATATCTACACCAATAAAAATTCCATGACTGTGGAGGATATGAGAACCAAGAGAGGAGCTGATATAGCCTCAGATCATCACTTGCTGGTCGCCAAAATAAAACTGAAACTCAATAGGCACTGGACAATGGGGCGGACAACATCACTAAAGTTCGTACGGCCTTTCTTCGGGATACTGTGAAGCTCAGCGAGTTCAAGATAGCCCTCAACATTAGGTTCCACGCCTTGCACGACCTACACAATGGAGAGTAAACAACCATGGAGAACAATTGGAAAGGGATCAAGGAGGCGAACACTTCAAAATGTCAGGAGGTTCTGGGTCACAAGAAGCACCATCACAAGGAATGGGTCTCTACTGGTACGTTTGAAAAAATTCAAGAAAGGAGGAAAGAGAAGACAGCAATCAAAATCAGCCGAACAAGAGCAGAGAAAGACAAGGTACAAGCTGAATACACAGGCTCAAACAAGCAAGTGAAGAGGAGCATCAGAGACGACAAACGTAAACATGTGGGAGATCTAGAAGTGACGGCGAAAAGGCTGCAAGAGACGGAAACTTGAGACAATTGTACGATACAACAAAGATGTTCGCTGGGAACTATAGTTAACCAGAGCGATCAGTGAAAAGGAAGGAAGGCAAAACAATCATCGACACTGAAAAACAGAGACACAGGTTTCTAGAGCACTTCGAATAACCCTTTAATCGACCTGCCTCACTGAACCCTCAAAATATCAACCCAGCATATACGGACCTCCCAATTAATATTGACCCGTCAACAGTAGAAGAAATCAGCATGGCCATTAGACAAATATCAGCTGAGACCTGGAAGCAGACATAACAGTATGTACAAATACGTTACACACTTCCTTCACAAAGATTTAGGAGGAACAGCAAATACCAACAGACTGGAAGGAAGGACACTTCATCATTATGCAAAGGAAAGCTCATCTAAGAAATTGTGAAAACTACTGAGGCCACACTCTACTCTTAATACCAAGAAGTCTTCAACAGAATGGCACTGAGCCGAATGAAAAACCCAGTAGACGCCCATCTTCGAGATCAGCAGGGTGGGTTCCGTAAGGATCGATCATGTACCGACCAAAATGCGACACCACGGACCGTTGTTGAACAACCAATTGAATCGAACTCATCACCATGCACCGACTCCCTTGACGATGAAAAAGAATTCAACAGCGTGGACAGAATCACATTGTGAAGGCTTATTCGATACTACCTGAAAAGATATTCAGCATCACACGGAATTCGTATGAAGAACTGCAATGCAAAATTGTGCATGGAGGACAGATCACAAACTCACTTCAAGTGAAGACCGGTGTCAGCCAGAGCTGATTACTTTCACCTGTTATCTTGCTTCTGGTGGTTGACTGAATTATAAAGGCCGCAACATCTGAGGGGAAGCACGGAATGAAGTGGACAGCTGGGATGTAGCTAAATGGTTCGACTATCCCAGATAACCTGGTCGTTCTATCCCACACACGGCGACAAATGCAGATGAAGACGATCAGAGTTGTGACAGCCTCTATAGCAGTGGGCCTGAAGATACGAAAGGTAGAAGGTAAGACTGTCAAATACAACACACACCAACCAAATCACGCTTGACACAGAAGCTTTAGAAAATGTAGAGAATTTCACGTACCTAGTAAGCATCTTTGATTAACAGGGTGAATCTGATGCAAAAGTGAAGGCACAGATTGGAAAAGCAACGGCAGTATTTATATAAAAGTGAAGAACATCTGGAACTTAAAAGAACTGCAAACCAACATCAGTCAGAATTTTCAATATAAATGTCAAGATGGTTCCACCGTATGTGGCGGACACTTGGTGAGCCACGAAAGCCGTCATCTACAAGACACAAGTGTTTATTAACAGTTGTTTACGCAAAATACTTCGGATATATTAATCAGACATGATTAGCGAGACATACATTGCGGAAAACATCAACAGTTGTCACAAGACTAGACCTAACTTGAAATCCTCACAGCCAAAATAAAGGAGGAAGATCAAGGAACACACCGAGCCTACAATTGGAAGCAGAGATCTACAGAATGAACGGCAATCGGATAGAATTGGAACGGAAAGCACAGGACAGAGTAGGTTGAAGAATGCTGGTCGGTGGCTTCTGCCCGATTAAGGGTAACAGGCGTCATTAAGTAAATAAATCAACTTTGTTAAAATTCAATTAATATTATGGCCAGAAATGTAAAAGGTACACAGAAAGTCAGATAATATTCTTCGTTTGCGGATTGAGAAGTGTATTTCTTGGCAAATTACTTCTAAAAGCAAAAAAATATTATGAAAGAATATACAAACATCATCATTGAAAATAAAGATCTTATCAATCACATGTAACAGAACAGGAAGTTAAGTCATACATAACCTGTTCAACTTAGTTTGTTAGGTTGCCTGCTGACAGCTGGTTTAACTTTATCAGTAACTGTCAGTATCTTTCAGCCTTAATTATCAATCTCGCCTAAAAGACTCAGCCTCTCAACGTACGTTATTTAAGATAGATTAATTTTTATGAAAATTCCTTTTGTTCAACTAGTAGGAGTCTATCAATAGATCCATACTTCTTCAATTGTTTCAGGCTTTATCAGTCAAATTCAAGTATTTTAAACAAATTTTAATAAAGTTAGGTTGTATTTTTTCGCTTAAATTGACATTGTATATTATTTCCAAAAAACACGGAATTACTATGAATTACTTCACTGCCAACAAACAGATATCAAATTTATTCGTATGTCTGTATGTTGTCAAATGGATTCTAGACTTTTGCGAAAAGTTTTAATCATTCAGTTATTTTTAACGAAGTGATAAAACCAACAAGTGCACTTGAGTTCGCGTTCATTGCATTTTAACTACAATCCAGTTGATTTGTGATTCTTGTGCAGCATAAGGAATGTGAAGTTTAAAAAATCCACTGTGTAAATGTTTGAAGCTATTGAAAGCATTAGAAAATATGATTTGTGACTACATACAGTTCGGATTATTTCGAGCTGATAAAGCTGACATTAACAGTTTATAATGTTCTGTATTGATAAGTAAAATTTTGGAATTTAAATAGACTTACTTTGATTGGTAGGGATTGAAACTACGCAATTCACCGATCAATGGCGTTCGGTCTTCAAAATACTGATCTGTAAGTTGCTGATCCATTGGAAGGTTGTGTATTAAATTGAATATGTCCTTCACGGTCTTTTTTATCTTGACCAGGTGGTGGACAGTAGAACTTGTAAAATGTACATGAAAAAAATACGGAGATTTAAGTACTGCATAATAATTGCAAATGAATTGTGAAAATCGATCGTTCAATTTTTTAATATCTGCAAACATATAATATACATAAGGATATTACTCAGAAACTAAATGTCCGTTAATCAACTTGATAAATATGTTTTCTTCATGAATTTTCCGATAAAAAGTTTACGTTTCTTGTGCGAGGCATGGATAAAATCATTGTGTAGTAATGAATTTCAAACTTAAAATTACCTTGAATTTCTCCATCTTTCTAGCCAATCAGGAACCAAGAGTAGAAAGAACATCCACGTATCACTCTTACATGAAAAGAGGAATTTTTTTCCAGGTTATTCAGTTGGTATTTCATTTTGAAATTGAATTAAGTCCGATAGGGGGATTCAATCACACTCCTTAAAATGATATTGTCTTTTGAATCTTTATAGCTAAAGAATTAGTTTTTATGCGTGATCGCATCAATTCAATAACGAATGCACTACTGTAAAAATAGTTAGGATTTTGAATTGTAAATAATCAGATGATGATTAATTCTAAATCAACGCGAAACTTATACTATTTCCAGTTATCTGAATATATTGTTGTCTCTGGTTCAAGCGGCTTATTTACAGTTAGAGATCAGGGTTAAAAGCCAAGTTATTTGGAACTCTCAAAATGGTTTTTGTAGAATTATCTGATTCATTAAACTATAACTTCTACCAGATTGAAATAAGTAAACACTTTGTAAATCCTGTACAGTCCTTTTAGACCATTTATTCCTGCATAAAGACTTAATAAACAATTTTTATAGTCAATAATTCTGAAATTAAGAAGCATCAGGTCACAGTAGTCGGGATGTTTTCTGTTTATGAACCACGACTTGAAGATTCGTATCTCAAACCTCACTGGTTCGATCAATTGTCATAATTATACCAGGATAGTTTTTAAGGTATAAACAAAGAATGAAGTTCTATGAGAAATGAGAATTATTAGATATTAAGAACTAGTGAATTCAGTGTAATGTGAAAATTAGCATGAACAGCTTTCCTACATAGTAGTTTTGGTGGTAATAACGTAATCACTTACTCGAGTCATGTTGTGTGTTACAAAGCGATCACGTGGCAGATCTTGACTTTGAACGTATCCAGATGCATTCAAGGTTGAACCACCAGGTTCTAATGGACCGATTGTCACTCTACCCAACATTTCAGCTGATGATTTGGGGTGATGTTGTAAACCGGTATGTGAGCCCTTTGACATACTAAAGTCATAAAAAATTACATTTAAAAATAAGAGTCTACAGAGGACAGAATTTCAAGTTAAATGATGACCTAAAATAAGGAAAATGGTGTTATAGAATGAAAAATACTCTGCATCGAGTATAAAGGTGCAATATTTAAATTAACATTTATTCCGACATTGTTTCCCGCTAACACTCAGTTCCCATAAAGAATTTCACCGGCTATGAGGAGAACGTTTCATGGCCTGCAGCATAAGTGTGATTCAGACCTATTTCTTAAGAAACTCCGACCAGCCAAGTTTTGCACATTTAGTAAAGTAAAATGAGCACTACGAAATCACACGATATGCATCCGGTAAGATTATTTAGCTTCTTAGAACATTGGAATACAATTAAAAATAAAGCTAGCTTCTTTTGAAAGCTTGTCATTCGAGTCAAAATGAAACATTCAGAGTTTGTTGAACAAATTCACAATACATTTTGTATCCGTTAGTGATTCAGAAATCTATAAAGGGTTGGTAGTTTATTGGATGTCGGTAAATGTGAAGATACCAAACAACAGTCGTTTTTAGCTTTATTTGTTGCATAATTAGTAATCATAAACAAAACGCTAAATACATTTTACCTTGGTTCTATAGATCTGTGAATCACATTCTGATATTCGGCTAAATCCGTTTTCTTTAAGTTTTTTAAACGTTCTTCGGGCAAGTCCTCAGGATGATCATAAACCTAAATCATTTAATTTTAAAAGAACAAATACTTGTGTAAACTAAGTCTCATCAGGATCAATCACTGCTATACTACAAAGATTTATCAGAAAGCCGTAAGTAGCTTTTAAAATCAGATGTACCATAGTAGTGTAATAAGATGAAGAATGTCTTAACTATAAATGCAGTGACCCCACGAAAAGTTTTCGAAACTTATGACAAGGGACAGAGGAAATATTTTGTGAATTTCTCCTTTAAATACAAAGAACTACTGTCTCTCAGACTTTTGTGTTTAAATGTATCGTGGTGGAAGCCAGACAGCGCGAAATCTTAGATGAATACAGTTCCATCTAGGCTGATGCTCACAATGAAACTTAAATCAATACCATTACAACTTATTCACATCTGATTTTTTTCACTTGGTAATTATTGATGAAAACACAATTTCAGGAAGGTAAACGGGATTTTCGAACAAAGTTGTTAAGCGTTCATAATCTTCAAGCTTCAAGACAGCCAGTTTATCCGAAAGAAAATGAGGAGGTAAATTCATTCATGTTAAAAAAAAGATCAAAGTACACAGGTACGACTGAAGATTATAGACATATATTATCGTGAAATTGATAGCTATCGGTATGATTTATGTAGAGAACTAAGTGCTTTTTAATTGGCGTACTTGATGCTTTGCAAGTTAATGATTGGAAACTGAGGGTAATATTATCAATAGTTCATGACAATGAGCTAAACAACACATTTTTTATCTCTTCAACTTAAAAAGTATCATTAGGTTACAATTATTTTCTTCGCCTACTGTTTTCTTTCTTATCCAGTCATTTTTCTGTTGTCAATCTCTCATTTCCAGCGATGCGGTAAATTGAGGTCATTTAGTCCTAAAGAGCAACGTGGTTTGTATTAAGTTTTCAATTGCCTCTATCAGAAACACATCCATATTTTAAAACGTCCAATGTTTTAAAAATAATTGTCAATTACAGACCAATAGCTTACGCTATATGAGTGACTCTTAGATTCAGGCCAATGCTTATTTTTAACAAAATAATGATCTGGTTTCTGGTATAATGAGTTGTCTAACCAATATGGAAAAGGCTCAGAACTGTTTTGATGATAAAAATCTCCAAAGTCACTCATGTAAACAGATTTTTCTGTTGATTCATCAGTTTTCCAACTAGATTGTCCAGGTTTAAACGAGTGTCCAAAACAGTTGTTGATTGGGTTAAAATTGCTCGTACTACGAGTAGGTCCAGATTCTTCTTTGCGACCGATAGTAACATTGAACATGTCGTCTGAAATATATGTAACGTTAATTTTTTACTAGAGGCAAAATAATCAAATTTGTCACAGATGAAAGTGAAGTTTAACCTTTCTGTGGCTGTAGTAAAGCAGTCAGAACAACTTGGAAATATGTTTTTGAAGCAATATTTTAAAAGCAAAATAAAATGCATTTTCATCATTTAGTAATATTCAGTTTCTAACAAGTAACTAGTTGTCATTTTTAGGTTCTAAAAATACATCTTAAATGTTGCTTAATAAGTATGAGCTAGTAATAAAATAATATGCTTGGTAATAGGGAAAGAATTTTCATTCTGAATTATCCTGAAAAAGTTTTGATAGTTTCCTTGGATTTATGGTCATTTTATTTGGTTTTTAACCACTTATATGAAGACAAAACAGTAAAACATCTAACGATTTATCTAAAATCCTAATGTTAATAGGTAAAAATAAAGAGAACATATACAAGAATGTTGACAAATTCAGGAATGCAATGGTAACACTCATCATGCATTCAAAAACATTTGCATGATAATTGCAAAGAAATTTAAATCAGAGCTAACATGGTAAATAAATTCGTGTCATACACTAACAGTGTATAAAATGAATAAATGATTTCACTTGTTTCGAAACTTTGAGAGTTCATTTATCTAAAATGTCATATTCAACAGGTTTACCAATTCAAAGAGGTACTAATTTTTGGAGATATGTAAAACAAGAGTATTATAATGCCATAGAGAAATGATCTATATAGTACTTATAGGCCTAAAAAGGTCACAGCAAAAGCAATGGAAGACTGTATGTACTGGTATCGACAAATCACAACACCAATACTATCTTAAATAAAAACAAAATCTGAACACAAGGATCATTAACGACATTTGTAATAAATACGACCAATCAAATATTTTGAAAAAAATTATGGTGAAAGAAGCATGTGATATAATCATCCACTTTAGTATATCCTGGTAAATCGAAACTTCAACGTAGTGAATACACTACAAATTTGAACTCATAGTATATTATTCCTAAGTAGATTATACATTTGATGGTAATCATTGTTTCGAAGCCTCATAGTTGAATTATCTAACCAAGAGAACACGACATCAAAATGATTTTCTTTCGCTGATTAAACTGTTTGTTAGGTAACAGAGTTTGCATGAGTATTAGGATTGAAATATATGCTATTATGTATATTTTGAGCCCCTTTTGAATAACTTACAATACCGTCACTAAACACTGCGTTTTAACATTTATGGGCGTTAATCTGAATAGCTTTACAGTAATTTGTGGTAAACCTGAACATGACAAACACACTTACTTCTTCTTGATTATTATTCAACAGCTTTAATCAAACAATCTCTAAAATATTATTGTATTTAACCACTGACCTCACCACTCAGTACTTAAAATACCCTTGATTTTCGATAACTCTAAGTTCACTGCAATAAACTGAGTCACCGACATAGCTGAAGATTACACAAACCCATTCTATCTAAATGCCTTCTATGTTCCAGGAAATGACGAGCACTTTATGTTTATGTTTTGAAGTACCAAGCCAAAAAGTAATCATATTAAACCATTTTAATGACGATAAGTCATTATGGCCTCCGAAAATCTTTTAACTCAACTTATCGGTAATGGCCTATCATCGTACATGTTTTGGATTTAAACAGTTAAGTTACAAGTTATAGTTTTACCATAAGATGACAGGTCAAAGAAAGTTAGTTCAACTTTGCATAATCGTTATCCTGCTGGTTTTTTAACTATAGTTGGTAATTAGGGATCTGCAACTGAATTACATTCTTTTAGTTTAGGTAACAACCTGCTTAGTCAGTCAGTTACAACGTACAACTTCCTACACAAGTACATCAGTTCAGGTGGCCATACCATGTTAGCGCAGAGACGCAATTTTCAATTCAAATTCCATAGTGGTAGAGGTAGTAGAAGTATTACTGGTAATGGAGAAGATTAGGATTTGAAGATAATATTCAAGAAGTACCATTCATTGAGATAAGGTTAGAAAGACAAAGGTAGAGGTGCTGACGAATCCAGAAGATTAGGATTTCAGAGAACATAAAAAGTGGATGCACCTGCGCCACTGCAAACGACTTCGAGCCATGTCATTCAAGGTCTCTTATCATCAGTGACTTTCGTCGCGGGGACCCCAGCCAGGTAGCCTACATCTAACAGCATGACTCAATCCAGTTGTCGTTTGAACTGCAGGCAGTGGGGTCGTAGGCAGACACAATGAAGAGGCAACGGTGAGTTTCCCTATCTTTCCGAGTCTTTACTGTCCTGTTAAGTCGAATAGTGCACAAGGGACTATCAACAGATATCCAGTCTAGGAGAGCTGGTTCTGCCCTAGGACTCGATGCTTTACCTACACCAGCGAGACGTCGGGAAACAGCATCAAGGCCACCGGATACACGAAGAGTAAATCGAATTGCTTCTTTATTTTGACAAGGTGAAATCAAATTAATGACTTTATTAGGATTCTGTATGCGCGTTTCTGAGACGCAGCATACATCAATGGCGCGACATTGTAAAGTCCTAGCCAATGAATCCTGTTCCCCTATTTGACACAATATCCGTACATTAAATGCTCCAACATATAGTTTAGAACGAGGTTTCGGGAGACCAGGAATAACGTTTCGGGAACTCAAACCGTTTGCAGCAGAGGTGGGGGGTGATAAAGGACTTTGAGAAGAGTGAGCCGTGAAGATAAGGGGATGTTAGGGAGTGTAGGAAGGATTTGATTTGGACCAATTCGGTCGCGTGTGCGGTTGCAGGTATGAGGGTGAATATCACTTTCCGGCTGCCCACACCGTGGGAGGGTGTTTCTTGAGGAACCTGAAAAGAAAGGTAGATTAACGTTGGTCTTGACGACCTGGGTGCGTGACCGCAGAGTCCAACGGACAGCTGCTTAAGGCCAGTCACACACAGCCTTTTGATGAAGGGTTTTTCGAGTATTAGCTCCGCTTTTTTTAAAAGCCCTTATTGGGCAGCTCTTACCGCCGGAGACGGAAATCCGTAAGGTAAGTAAAGTGGACTAGACTTAAAAAGTGGTTATTATTAGATATGAATCATAAATTCGCAACTAACCATCAGAAGCGACACTTGTATATATGGAGCAGAACTAAATCGTATCTGGAAGTCCCTACTATCATAAATAGGAAGATGCATCTTAAATGATGAGATAATCATTAAAAAGCACTACTATTTCTACTGTCCAACGAAACAGCGAAATAGCATGATCCATGTCTCAAATGTAGGTTAAAACGATTCTAATGTCAACAAGATATTTTGTGGTTTGTTCTTGTTCTAAACAATTGAAGAGTTATGAAACTGCGTATTTATTCATGGAATGAAAGACAAGAATAGATGACCTGAACATCTTAATTATTTTTTCTGTTCCAGCTAGGTTGAAAAAGCTTGAAGAACTTCAAATTTTTGTTCTAATTCTATGAACTCACCGTGTGCAAAAAAAGTTTCGTTTGATTCCTAATCGATTAATTCAAAAGGATACCGAAGAGATACGGAAACATGCTAGAAAATTAGAGGAACAGAACCCTGACATGCGTTCCAACTAAACGCCTGATATGGGTGTGTGAAGCAAACATGAATATAGAGAACACTTAAAACACCAGTTAAACTACAAGCGAAAGCTCAATAATTCCTTACAGTGAGCCTGTAGATGTAACAACTTACTCCGTCTTGGTTCAATTTGACTATAATCGACCATGTATGTTGTTGAATGTGTATCGGGGCCCTTAAGTAAATTATACTAATTCACGACATACATGAAGGAGATTTTTAACTTTGCCAATATGGAAATCTGTTTTTCTTGGTAGAAGATATCCCCTTGGCAGTGTTGGGGTAAGAATATTCTTAACGTTCTTGTCAGGAAATTCGATTTTCGCCTACAAATCTGTCAGCTGAAATATGCCTATTTACGGAAAATACGCTTGAATCCTCATTTTCTTTCAATGGCTCATTTATAAGATAAGGTAGGAATTCCTTTCCAGATGGCATAATATATGGCAAGAAATCTTTATGAGTTGTATAAATGTAGTTATTATTAGTTATACTTCTACTGAGGATCAAAATTAATGATCTCAAAACGAAAACCTTAAGTCTGGTTTATTCTTCGCGTGTACTTTGCAGTTATATAGAAGCGATGGTCGTACATTTGATACAAATCCTGAGTTGCGATGTGAAGTTATTTCTTGTTTACAGTCCCCATAATAATGATTGTACGAAGTCGTATCATGATGGTTCAGAGCATTGCTTTCACTAGCAAAGCGTTGTTTTAGATGACTCGACCGTGGTACGATGCAACACATACGAACAACCTTGATTTTTCAAAAGAAATGTGAGTTGCCATGACAAACACATCAAATATCCAATATCTTTTTCATGAGCCAGTGTAAACCAAAAAATTTCTTTGCGCTTGATTCTTGTTCTTTCGGTGCAGTTCCAGGTTTTCGGTAATGTCCAATGAATAGAGGTCTAGCCACTCGACTGTCTAATTCTACTCAGATCGCAGTAGGTTGTGAGTTTGTTTGTCTCGGGGTTTGAGTGAAAACGTCTGCTTCAGGGCAGTAGAGTTTCTGGATACCAGCAGCTACCAAATTACCAGACCGGAAATCAGTTAGTTGCAATGTGGAGAGTATTGAGGATAATAAGGATAAAGTTCTAATGCTAATATGAATAAAATTGCATAACTGAGTAATATAGAAATGAATTTATTTTCTTAATTGGTAGTGAAGATTGTGAGAGAGGAGGGGAGGGAACAAAGATGAAAGGCAAGATAGATTAATTAAGTGATCTGAGCAGATCGCAATGATATCAACTTGCAGGTTTCAAGATATGCGTCATGAACAGCTTGGGCAAGAGGGAGATGATAATCCGTATGTGAGTACTTGATTACCACGTCTTTTCTTACTGAGGGGGCTGTGGTCACCTCGGCTGGGAGAGCTTTCCAAGTTGCGACGAATCGCAATTAGAAAAAGTGTGCTCACGTTCGGATGGTTTGGAGTGCTTATTATGTTGTACGCCATAATCAGATCACCTCTCGTTCTCCTGTGGCTCAGTGGAAATAAACCCAAGAGCTGGAGTCTATCATCGTAGGGTTTGTTTTTCAACCCTATCACCCATTTGGTTGCTCGTCTCTACATTCGATCCAAAAGATTTATGTCTCTTTTAAGCAGAGGAGATGCGATGACATGGTGAACCTCCAAGTGTGGGCGCGCGTACGTCTTAAATAGGGTCAAAAATAATTACGGGATGGTAGCACCAAGCTGTCTTCGCATTTGCCTTGGCTGTATCCATTACATAGTTTGGACTGGTGTGGAGGCTTTCTGTGGTTATTAAACCGAGATCGCGCTCTGAGTAGACATTAGGGAGCGGACTTCCATTGAGGGTATAGATCGTTTGCGTCGTGTAAGGCAGGATATGCATGACTCCATTCAGCTGGGAGTTGGTGTGACTCCAGTGAATGCCTGAACAGGTCGCATATCGGTGAACATAGGACTTATAAACATTGTTGCAAGACTATGGGGCGAATTTTTCACAACCTGGTGACTTACCTGGGCGTAAGGATTTTAGTTTCCGTAGTACTAAGTCAGGAGTTATACGGATGTTCCCTAAGCCGTCAGCTAGACATGTGTTAGCGTAGTACTCTGAACATGTAGGCGCCTGGTTTAACTGATCAGAAAAATTGGTGTTGAAGATCTCGGCCATCTCTATGTTGGTGAGGTCTTCCCCGTTTGGTCCTTTGGGAGAAAACAACCCTATATAATAGATTTTCTTTTGATAATAATAAGAATAATAATTTATTCTCAAATAACGAACATGTTACAAGAGGCATGCCAATTTACAAGCAAGATCAAAATGTTAAGCTCGACAACATACTTCCTTTAAACCGATCTACAGTCACTGAAATATTTCATAAGATACGTTGGATCCATTTAGATGGTCTACAATATGCAACGCGAAAAATTGGCTCCAGTTACGGTGGGTGCGTTACGACGAGCTTCTTAACGACCCTTGAAACAATGCAAGTTAGAGCCAGGTTAGCATGTGACAAGAATCGATGAGGTATATGTGCCAAGAACTGGTTGACAAATTAACAGGCCCTTGGGTAAGGTAAACAAGTCTTCAGCAAATATCCAGTAATAAGGTGCTGAAAAACGAGAAAAAGAGAACAGGGCGAGGAGCAGAATAAAAGATATTCTTGTTCAAAGACGAACAATGACTCAGACAGACAGTCGTAGACGAGGTTAACAAGGAAAAGTAACATCAATATTACTGATTTTTTCATCCTGCTATATCGTAAAGAGCCGTAAGAAAAGAAAAGTTCTGCCACACACATGGTAGATTGAGGTTATAGCCTCACCATCATGATAGCTTGTCAGATACACCAACCTCTCTCCTTTTGTGATGTCAGGCTCTCTAACGTTTAATAGTTGATTGTAAATAATGTTTTTTAGTCTACTCTCTATCTTTTTCTACACCTTATCTGAATTACCTTTCTCTACTAGCTCCACATTACAAGTAATCCAGACAACTGTACCCTTTCTTATGAAAGACAAAATATCCCCGGAGCATGCCAGACTGAGTTTAAGTAAACTAACGGTATAAATTGTAAGATATGTATCAGTTAATAGGTAGTTTGGAGATAGGAAGGACAGTGAGCTGGAAAAAGAAGAAAAAGAAACTGTTAAAACTTAAACAAGGAAATCACAATGCTACAGAGAGTTTGAGTTCATTTTAACTGACAGTAGTTGATCAGCATCTACGGGCTATTCAATTGGTCTGTCTACTAGAAATAAAAACTAAAACTGCTTTGAAGATATGAAAATAATGATTGGAATTTAAATTTTGAGAAACGTCACGGGTAGCACCTTAAAGGCGTAACCTATTACTGTTAGTAGAAGCAAGGGAATTTGTCTATCATTTCGTGATACCTATATGGATGGTAATGGGGGCATGATATGTTCATAGTCTGTAATTAGTTTCTAAGGTTGATCTAAATATTTGGTTGACCATAAAAGAGTGCCAGGGGACTTGGTATGAGTTCCCAAAATAGTCGATAAATCTCTTTAGAGTCTAGCAACAGCATGACTAGTTTCTTGAACTTAGTGATTGTGTCACAAATACGGATAGTAATTGGTAACCTGTTCCAAAATAGACTGTATCGTATCACAAAGAAGTCACAACGCAATGATATTTTGGGTTTTGCCTTTAATAGTAAATATGCGTTGTTTCGAAGTCTGTAAGCAGTGTTGTGGTCCATAATTGGACGGTATTTTACGAACAAGAGACGATTTGTCAGTTTATAGAAGAGCATTAGGTTGTTTTTCAGACAAAGGCGCCATAGAGTTTTCATGGAAAGATGCTTGCATGTTTCTGTGTAGTCGAGGTTGTGGCTCCATCCGAGCAGTCTCCGGGTGAAGCTTCTTTGGACATTTTCTACTCTTATCTTGTCCATGATATTCATATTTGAGATAAGTGAGCAATATTCAAGTGAGGGCCTTACATAGATTTTGAAGAGTGTAAGCTTAGCCTCACTTGTCCAGAAGTTCTTGTTTATAAACCCAATTAGCCGTCTGGATTTAAAGATAATATTTGAGGCATGTTCAACGAATTTTAGGCTTCTAGAGTAACTAATACCCAGGTCACGCGCCGATATAGGTGCTTGAACCCTAAATTTTTGTAAAATGAGCGGTATATCAAGGTGAAGTTTACTAAAATGCATGATGCCACATTTATTATGGTTAAACGGCAGATGCCATGTTTCGCTCCAGGTAGTTAAGTTATTAAGATCACTATGAATCTTAGCTATATTTTTGTCCAGATCTTCATGCTTATAGCTGTATACTATTTTCAGAACATCAGCATATAAGTATACTCTTCCAATTCTTATAGTATTACATATATCGTTTATGTACATCAGAAACAAGAGTGGAACTAATACACTTCCCTGCATAACTCCACTGGTTATTGGTCTTGGTGATGAAAGACAATCGTTGTAATTAACTATTTGTCGGCGCCCATTTAGGAATAAAGCAAACCATGAATGTAGTGGGTTACCGATTCCAAATGTCTCTAGTTTAAGTAGAAGCCTTCAGTGTGAGACCTTTTCAAAAGCCTTCTTGAAGTCGAAGAAAAGGATGGATACTAGAGGCCCTTTGTCTTGTTGATGCGTAATGTCATTGGAATAATCTATCAGGCATGTGTCACACGACCTAGAACTCAAGAACCCATGCTGTGAGGTCGATATCAGATTGTTACTAAGTAGATGTTGCATTAACACTGCTTCAACTACTTTCTCCATCACCCTAGATACTACTGAAGTTATGTTGATGGGTCGGTCATTGTCAACATTCGCCTTAGGCCCAGATTTAATTGTGGGGATGATTTGTGTAGTCTTCCAGTTAGTAGGGTAAATCTCTGTTGAGAGTGCTATGGTAAATAGTTTAAGAGGAATATCACACAGATCATTGCTCCCATTTTTCAGCATGCTGTCTGGGATACTATCTGGTCCTTCAATGTAAGAGTGCTTCAGAGTATTTATTGCGTTAGAAATGATCTGTACACTAAATTCAACACTGGCGATTTCACAGGAAGCAATTTGGGTCAGGTGTGATTCATCTGTTGGGTATTCGTTTGTTAATGTAGCACAAACGTTTTCGCTAAACAACTCTGCGATACTTTTAGGGTCTTCATATACTTGGTTGTCCTTAATAAATATGCTACCCCACTTCACTTTGGAGCATTTAAGTTTATTTCGAGGGAATTTTATAAGTGTAGAGGATTCACTGTTCAGCTGAACAGCACGCTTTTCCTGTACAATGGCATTTTAGTACGTATTGTCTCTGCCTCAACAAATATTTCAGTCATCGTTACTAATGCGGAGAAGTCATTACAGTTATGAAGTCTGGAAGCATGTCTTCGGAGACGTTTTCGTATATGGCCTGGCACATATAAGTCCTTAGGAATTCTGGGTATCCAGGATCCTAGGGGTGCAATTTTATTGAATATATTATTCGTGTTGTGATAAAATACATTTATTGGTTCATCAGTATTGTATGCGTTGAAGTAGTTTGTCCAGTCAATGCTTCTGACGCAATTCCGGAAATTTTCCCGACCAGTCGTACAAAAGTCCCTACGAAGTGTAGTGAATTTACGTCTTATAGTTGTTGCTCCTATATTAAGGCTGCATATGACCATATTATGATCGCTACCTGGGAACTTTTTTCCAACATATACAGTGTAAGGGATGAGATTGCTGGTGAAAACTAAATCCAATGTATTTTGATATCTTGTTGGGCCGTTAACATGTTGAGTCCACTCTCCAAGCTCTAAGCATTCAATTAATGATTCGAATCGTCTAGGTGCTTTGATTGGGAACCAAGGTATTTCAGGTATTTTGAAGTCCCACAAATAGCCTTGCTTTTGAACTGTAGGGATCAAACAAACGTGAATACTTCCGACAATAATGCTAGATCTCCTGTTGGTGAATCAGGCTGACGGTAGAAACAGCTGAACAGTAAGGAAACTGTATTTAAGGGTTTCAGAACGATCCACACAGAGTCTGGCAATCTGTTTAGTTCCGATATATCACATAAGAATGAGTTTAGGCTAGAGTGGGCAATAGTTTACGAACAAACGTTTTTCCAAATAATAAGACATGATCGCCTTTGTACTATGCTCGAGTTTATACACCACAAGCAAAGTAGGGAAATCTACAAAGCGTAAGGTGTCAAAATTACTAAGAGCTTTACGTACCTACGTGTCATCTGACATTCAGCTGGTAGTATTCAAAGTTGTCCACTTGTTTGGAAATTTCAGTTGTTATTCACTACTATTCGTTTGTACGGCATGTAGCTCGGTCCTACTTAATAAGGATTTAATTTTACCTCAGTAGTTTATACGAATCTCAATCAACTTGGCATCTTCCAAGTATCACAGATGTTTGTTAAACCCCTTAGTTCTTCTTGATGATCTTCCTTCCTCATAAATGCAGTAATACTGCTTCCTTTTAACTTAGACCACAATGCAATGAACCTTATCAGACATCTTTGGTAATCCGGTAATGTTTACATCTGCATCACTCATGAAATACTCTCCAATGCACTGACCTTAGATACAAAGTTTAAAAGAAATCCCAATAATAATGCAGTTGAGTTGGATAAAATAGCATAGGATTTGAGTCTCAGTCACTAATAGTGCACTATTCTTTGCTCCTAAATTATAAACTAATTCTTTAAATGTAGACTTGAATTGATTTGACTACCTAATACACAAGATCTTACCTAGAAATTACACCATTGCCAACATGAACTCATCCTAACGCGACAGTTAACTCCGCCAGTAGAACCTTCGAGGCTACCGCCGGTCCAAGGCCCGGATAAAGGAGGAGGGTTGGGCATGAGGTTGGCGACCACATCGTGTCAAAAACTAACTTGCCGAAAAAACGCCAACAAGTAAAAATAATTCAAACCATTTGAACTCTGCCCTGGCAGTTGGAAGAACAATTATGACATCGCGTGATGAAAGCCGAGTTCCCTCGGAAGTCACGAGGACGATGCCTCTTCCGACAACCAGAGCAACCATTCTTCTAGGTACATGGAACGTTCGTACATTGTGGGAAACTGGAAGACTATTTCAAGTTGCGGCAGAAATGAAAAGGTACAATCTCGAGGTGCTCGGCATCAGTGAAACGCATTGGACACAGGTAGGACAACTGAGACTAGCTTCAGGATGCAATCACTTCAACATGTCACGAAGTTCTGGGTCACAAGAAGTGCCATCAAAAGGAATCGACCTCTATTGGTACTCTTGAAAAAATTGAAGAAAGGAGGAACAAGAAGGCAGCAATCAATGTCAGCCGAACAAGAGCAGAGAAAGTTACCGCATAAGCTGCATACACAGAAGCAAACAGGGAAGTGAAGAAGAGCATCAGAGATGACAAACGAAAATATGTGGAAGATCTAGCGACGGCGGCGTAAAAGGCTGCAAGAGACGGAAACTTGAGATAATTGTACGAAACAACAAAGAAACTGGCGGGAAACTATCGTAAACCAGAACGACCAGTGAAAAGTAAGGAAGGCAAAGTAATCAGCAACACTGAACAACAGCGAAATAGGTAGGTAGAGCACTTTCAGGAACTATTGAATCGACCAGCTCCACTGAACCCATCCAACATCGAAACAGCATCGACGGACCTCCCAATTAACATTGGCGCACCTACGATTGAGGAGATCAGTATGGCCATCAGACAAATCAAGAGTGGCAAAGCAGCAGGACCAGACAACATTCCAGTAGAGGCAATGAAAGCAGATGTAGAAGCAACTGCGAAAATATTTCACATTCTCTTCAAGAAGATTTGGGATGAGGAACAAGTACCATCAGATTGGAAAGAAGGATACCTGATCAAAATACCAAAGAAAGGTGATCTCAACAAGTGTGAGAACTAAAGGCACCACTCTTCTCTCAATACCAGGCAAAGTCTTCAACAGGGTGTTGTTAAACAGATTGAAGGACTTCGTAGACGCCCAACTTCGAGATCAACAGGCCGGATTTCGTAAGGATCGACCGTGTACCGACCAAATTGCTACATTACGGATCATTGTGGAACAATCGATTGAATGGAACTCACCACTCTACATCAACTTCATCGACTACGAGAAGGCATTTGATAACGTGGATAGGAAAACGCTGTGGAGGCTTCTTCGACACTATGGTGTGCCTGAGAAGATAGTTAACATCATACGTAATTATTATGATGGATTCAACCGCAAAATCGTACACGAAAGACATCTAACAGACTCTTTCGAGGTGAACATCAGTGTCACACTCTCTCTCCTGGTTATCAACTGGATTATGAAGACGTCGACATTGGAGGGAAGCACGTTATTCAGTGGACAGCTAGGACGCAGCTGGACGATCTGGACTTCGCAGATGACCTGACTCTTCTATCGCACACACAGCAATAGAAGCAAGAGAAGACGACCAGTGTAGCAGCAGCCTCTTTAGCAGTAGGTCTAAACATAAATAAAGGGAAATGCGAAATTCTCCGATGCAACACAACATGCACCAACCAAATCACTCTTGATGGAGATGCCTTGGAGGACATTAACATCTTTACATATCTGGGCGGCGTCATCGACAATCAAGGCGGATCGGATGCAGATGTGGGGGCGCGGGTTGGCGAAGCAAGGGATGCATTTCTACAGCTGAAAAATATCTGGATTTCCAAACAAATTTCAACAAAAAAATCAGGATTTTCAACACAAATATCAAAACAATGGGAGCTTGGACACCGACTAAAATTTTATGGAGGATTAGCCAAAGGCGAACAAATCTCTTCATTTTATACGGCTGTAAACTGGAGCAGTCAAACTAAATTTGTCCATAGAACTGTTTGAGACGTGCCCAGTCCTTCGTCCTGAATTTGGAGAGGTTTTGGCGTACCCTCTCTTAAAAATAAACGTAAATCTCCTAGACCTGGGTGATGATGCTGAGGAACAACTCCATCGACGGCAGATTTCTATACCTGGGATTATTCTCTCTGATCTGCAAATGAATGAGATGTGATCTGACAATGGCAGGTGACATGCCAAGTATGCCAAATCACCCCATAGAAAACACCCTGACAGAAAATCAACACCGTCGCCACCACGATTCTTGAGACAATCCCTGAAAACATACACACTAAAGAACAGAAATCCAGACACCCTCACACTTCCCAGTAAGAGTTAATCCACTTCAAATGACAAGGTGACGATAGATAACATCAAGAAGAAACGTGACAAACACATACTCATTCATGCATTGACATCCCCCTCTTGAAGCAGCCGTGCCAGATACAAGTCTTGAAACATGTCTGTTATTATCAACATCTCATATAACCAACTTGTCCCTATCTCTCATATTGTCATCTTCATTTTTCCTTTCATTCATTTCGGTATTTTCACACTGTCTGCTTCACTAATGAAATAAATAGTCTATTTGGTTCTTGTAACTATTGTCTTACAGTGATATTTGAATTTTCTCTAACGCTTCTCCTACTGCAATCAAACGTCCTCGCGTCTGGTAATTTGATTACTGCTAGTTCCAGTGAACCTACTGCTCTGTAACAATCACACTCATTCAGATAACAAGATACATAAATGAACTACAATAAATGTAGCCAAGTAACTAGGTCATCCGTGGTACTCGACCACTTGGTTTATACAAGCTAATCACAAGGACATACGAAGGTAAGTTGAGCCCGGGCAGTGAGTCGAAGCTCTTAACTGATTTTAAATTAGCAAACTGATTTACTCACTACAGGTAGTGATATTTTCACTGAAAGCCTGGGAAACTACAGAAATAATTCACCTTATATTTTGAGGGCCTGAGAGTGTACATAAACTCAGTGCTGAAACCAGTCGCTTGAAGTGAAACCAAAAGCTACGTCACTTTTGGTATCGCACGCACATTTTTCAGTGCTGACAAGCTAATGTCATAAAAGGTCCAGTCTTCGTAATGGCATTTTCTGAAGATTGAAATGGGTTGTAATCCGATAAATTACTAGGACGTGGCATGTTTCTACACCATTAAAGTCACCAGTGCCACATTAGATTCTGTCACGATCACCGCAATCCCAGGTCCCACTAAATTTTTAATAGGCTCATCAGTTGGAGTTCTCAAATTATTGTAAGATCGTTTCCTTAGGAAATTTAAAGAGTGTTGGTTCCACAAATAGTCAAGCATGTCCAGATAATCACAACCTCATCTTTTATACGGTGCTTTGCAGTACATTTTTGCCGAACTGACATACTACCGCTTTTGTTACAAGAAAATATTTAGTCTGGCGTATAGTTTGCAGTACAACCGTGATTTTCGCTCGAATTCACTTTGTTTTTAAATTATAAATGGCCGGATGTGCTTATTGTTAGTACCGAACTTATTACTAACCTGTAGCCTGCTACTAGATGTCCCAGAATTTATGATACTGGTGATAATAAAGTGTTTATACACTAAGCTTCCTGTTTAAACATGTGAATTCCATTGGAAATACTAAGTGGCATCACAGCCCACATTCTTAAGAAGTATAGAGTGGGTCTCAGTAACATAGAGTCGAAACTTTCCTTCCATGGCATCGATTAATCTAAGTTCAAAAAGAGCAATCTATAACTATTAGATTGTCTTCTACTTGTCATTCAACATGAAATCAATTCTATACCTCTCAAGATAGGAAGTGATTTGCTCAAGTAGGTTAGTATCTAAATTATTTAAGCTGGTGAACGAAAGTTGATTATCTAATATCATAGCCGATAACATTTTGAACGATTTTCAGGATGGGTGTTCTTAGCTAATTTGAAAGTAAGCATCGAAGTTACCGACCAATATTCTCACTCCACTGTGCACAGTAAAACCACAAACCTATCATGATAAAGAACTAATTTAAACCCAATCGCTACTAGAGGACATTCGTAGGTTATTAGTATTCGATTATAGATGTCTTCGAAGCATTGCTCGTATATCCTGCCTCAGTCAAGTAAGCAATGCTATAGTAAGGAAACGAGTACTAGGCAGGGATGGCAGATCGACATATGAAGTAGTGAAACTTCATCAGTTGAAGTAGTTGGGTCATGTTTTATGTATGCCCAACCACCGACTGTCTTGACGAGCTGTTTTGTGGTGTAGGAGTAGGTTGGAATAAAGCTAGAGGCGGCTGTACCAAAACATGACACAAATCCATGAAGTTACTGACAAGTGAACTGAGTCATGTTGGTAGATGTAGGCTACCTGGTTGAGGTCCGCGAGATGAAATTTACCGATGATTAGAGACCTTGAATGACGTGGCTCAAAATCGTTTGCAATGGCGCAGGTGCATCCACTTTTTTTGTTCTCTCAAACTCTAACCTGAATTCCTCATTATCTCTATCTTTCTCTTTCTAACTTTATCTCACTGAAGTACTGCTAATACCTCTACTATCTCTACAATTATGTGATTTGAACTGAGTTGAGTCTCTGTGCTGATGGGGTATGACAACCTGAACTGATGTGCTCATGTACGAAGTTCTATGTTGTAACTGACTGACTGAACTGCTACTGACAGTCAGCAGTGTACTGTCCAGGAAGAACACAGCCATGTTATTTGTATCGCGTGTTTGTTGCCAGTTAAAACCGGTGGCTCTGTATTTGAATGCAGTGGGTGAGTTCGCTGTCGCTGTGATACTGATATACCAAGAGATTACTTTCAGTTCACACCCATTCACCTACATAAGTAGTTCTGTGATTGGTCCACAGTGTAGAACCAATAAGCCAAACAACAAAGCAAAAATAAACTGATCGATGCTTACTAGTATATGTAATTCGCCCAACGAAGGATCGATCAAACAGGCGACGATGGGAGTCGCAACCCGATCCAATACACCTATGAAGTCACTGGTTATTATAAAAATCCTAGTATCTGTTAACAGTAAGGAGAATTGGGTGAGCGTTAAGAAGTAAAATGGCATCATCATAGCTGCCAAAACGCTAGACGAAATTCTTCGATCTTATTTGATGTTCCAGTGTTGAGGGTAGTTTGCTTAAAGTGGAAATTTCTCTTAAAAAAGAACGGATGCTGTGAAATGCTTGACACATGCTTCACTTTGGTCGAACTGTAACGTTTGTTTTTGAGGGTTAGAACTAAGCAAAAGGCAAACCTCCACCACTGAGAGTAACTTTAGACTCGATACAGGTTGTTGAAATGGTACTAACGTCTCAGAGACCTTTGTTTACACTGTCCCCCCTAATGCAAATCATGTTCGACAAACCCTGATCATTATGAGCAGCCCTTAGAACATTAACAATCACTCAAGCAACTGCCCTGAGATTGAGCTACATACTTGACTACTTGAAATGTTAACCACAAATGAGTTTTTATACAAACATTCATCACTTTATTTATGCAGCTCGTATTAACTTTCTGTTTATTTAGGTCTACTGTCAAATGAACCCACTAAGAAATCTTACTGGGATGTTCAATCCATTCGGATCCATTAGGATTATTTTTCCAACTGCAGAAAAAAACATAATGCCGCTTTTTAATGTTCACTCTCGATTTTATAAAATGCACAACCATTTAGTTCGGAGATGCCGAGATTGTTATTTTGACCGGCGTGAAGGCCGGCTTTATGTTGAGTGCAAAACTCATCCACGTCATAAACAAGCTCAGAAAATGAATCCACCGAACGTCCCATGGTCATTTAAGCGTCAAATATGGAGAACTGTGTGTTGGTAAAGTAGAAACATATATGTGCCAGGAGCTGTTAACATTTACCAGTTTAACAGTTGAAACTTCGTATCGAGTGGTCATAAAATGTTCTATAATGTAAATTATTATCGGTCAATTGCTCATATTATTGTCTTAAAATGCGAATATGTGCAATCAAGTACTGAAAGCTGTGGAGTAATCACTACTAGACAATAAAATTTATAAATCACTAGGACAATTTGTCGGGTTTTTTTACATCAATCGTTCAATGACGTTAATTTCTTTGGTTTAACTGGCCCGACAGTGTGCAGAAGTGGCTCACTACTCATAGTTTATTGGTTTACGATTCTTTTTTATATTGACTTCATACTTTTACTATCTAGCAGTGTGTATTATCTTATCCTACTAGTGAGTACACGCCAAGCAAATGGGTTTAAGACAAAATTGTTTAATAGATTGAATACTGTTGAAATAGGGAAAGTAAGGTAACGGTATGAAGTCACCATTAAGATGATAGGCTGGGACGAATAAGTACGAAGGGATGTTACTTTTTGTCTATCAGAGTGTATTAAGAGTGCTACGGAAGAAGATTATGGTTGGAAATTCGTTTTGACTCATCTTTGTAAGCGTCCACTTATCAATATTCCATAACAAAGTATATAGGACTTCACATCAATGCGCACCAGGTAATAAACTCCAGTTTTATCTCCCTCATATTCATAATTTAGTTCCTGTGCTCAACGTTTTCCTTTGTATAAATTCTAGCTGCAATCCATTTTTTCATATTGGAATAAGGCAATTAAATGTGTTGTTTTACTTGATGCAATCAACAGGAATAAGAACTTAGGAAATTACGTGAATGATAACACTGACGTAATTAAGGTTAGAGTTTGGTATTTTAAACAAATACGTTTCATAAATTTTTATCCACTGGACAGTGTATCATATTAGCAGAGAATATTCTGGATTAAAAACTATTATGTTTGTTGTATAGCTACAGAAAAATTCTCTTACGAATTTTTGTGAGTGAAAGATGGGTTGTATATACTTGCATGCATCGCGGCTTAAGCCCAACGATGTCTGAATGTAACGAATTCTGGAAGTGTTCACTAGGTCATAAAAACTAGTAACTTTAATATCAAGGCTTATTCGGATTATCATTTATGTACAATTTACTTTCACAGAGTTCGCAGAAAATTATCATAATCCTCTTCAGTGGTAAATCCATATTTTTGACAAAATTCATAGTCTTCTTGTAAAACTATGGAACTGAGAGGTGTATACAAAGGTCTACAAAAGAGCGAGAACGATATAATTAGTTTTGTATAAAAAAGTCAATATGCGATTAAGAAATCTTCATTCGGCAGCTATGCGAAAAGTAGTCGAAATTCTGCATCAAAAAGGTTGCAGTGCTAACTTTATGCAACCTATAGATTGAACGATAGTCATAAATATGACGCTCAATCTTTCGTATAAATTTACATATTCATTCCAATGTCAGTCAACATAAAAAACTTTGGTATGAACAATTCAAGCAGCATGAAAATCGTCATGCAACCAAACAACGCTAAAGATACAACTAAAGACTAGTAATAGTTACGTGGAATACTGGGAAAGGGTTAAAGAAAGTTGGCTCTAAAATATCATATCCTAACCTTATAGATTTTTGTCTTTGATGGTAGGGCCTTCCGAACGACCAGCCTTGAGCAGTTGTCCCTCAGGCTCTACAATCATGCTGCCAGATCACTAACATCGTCACTAACCCAACTTCCTTTACGGATTTCTCAGTAAGAAATATCCTTTCGCAGTGCGGACAGCCCCAATCAAGCCTAATTAACAGCTCGCGAGATAATCCTCCCCTCACCTCTCAATAACTGTTTAATCCCCATGATTAACCGTTTTCGCATACTCTTATCACTTTACGCCGCTAATGATTTATAACCAAGAAATTTTATTCCTAGTCTCTTGAAACCTCACTTTGAACTAGATGTTAGAACTTTCAGCATTTGAGCCATGTATCAGATAAAACAACAAACTTATTCACGTAATACTCCAGAATCTTGTGCCATCGATGTAAGCTGTGTCTAAGAAATGCGCACGCAGTGCCAAAGTAGCCCCTCATTCAACCTTACCTTGTTAGTATGAAAAAACTGTAATCTAACCTTTGTGCATTCAGTGACCCCAACTCTAGTTCCTGTGATCACACTAGTGTAGACATTTATTTGTTTTAACACGTAAATATTGGTACAAAGAGGCAACAAAATATATAGACGCTGAACAAATAGTTGAATTTAAGTAGTGAGCTAGGATACTGAATAAGTAGTTTTCTTAGGGAGCCATTCTCAAGGCCTTTGACTCAGAGGTCCAACCCACAATACAGCGGAGCAACGTTAGGAGATACAGTCCCGTAGCAGCAGACAAATAAGAATAAATCCATACGCCAACTGTTCCTTAAGAATACTGGGGCCAATGCACACTATTGATTTGGAACAAGGAGCTCCTAACTCCCATGGCTGGGTTCCTCGTACCCACCAACCAGGCTTCAGTACTTGACATTCGCTTTTCGTCCTCTCGATTTCGTAAACATCCTCACTATCAAAAGGCATGCCTATAAAGGCATTACCGTATGAAAACATTTCGAGATTCAGAGCACATGCTTTCCACCCTTGGTCACACCCGGGAATTTGAGTGCAGTAAGTTTAATTGTATAAACTACCCCTGTAGTGTGAACAGTCGCTTGTGAGTTACCAAACTCCATCAGTCAGTTACAACGAAGAACTTCGTACGTACCTACTTCAGTTCAAGCTGACATAATACGTTAGCGCACAGACGCAATTTTCAATCCAAATCGCAGAGTGACAGACGTAGTAGAAGTATTAGCGGTCATGGAGAAGATCAGGGTTTGAAGATATTATTCAGGGAGTATAGTCCAGTGAAATAAACATAGAAAGGAAAAGGGTCGTCAATAATTCAGAAGATTAGAATTTGAGGGAACACGAAAGATGTACGCACCTGCACCATTGCAGACTATTTAGAACCATGTCATTTAGTCTCTAACCACCGGGTACGATTTTCTTGCGGACCCCAACCTGAGGTCACCATGTCAAAAAAAATTTTTCTTAGTGTTTAATGTTACTATTTGCTAGAAATAGGAAATTATCTGAGCAAAGTTGCAACAGACGGTAATCATTACCTGTCCTTTGAATCACGAAACCATAAGGTAAACTCATATTTGTTTCCTATTCAATTAGTTTTCCTACTTGAGCATTAAAATCACCAGCCACTGTTACTAACCGTTTGGACGAGTTCTGAAAGCCTTCTGCAATACTCATCTTTTACCTCGTTCTGAGCTACAGTCAGCCGGAGTGTAGGCAGAGACGACGAAGAGAAATCGGCGAGTATCTCTTTTTCCGAGCCCTTACTGTCCCTCTTAGTTGGACAGCACACAAGCGATTATCTACAGGGATCCAGTCTAAGAGAGCGATTCCTGCCCTAGAATTCACTGCTATACCTACACTAGCGAGGCCATGGTGAGCAGTTGTGGGGCTTCCAAATACGCGAAGCCTGAATCAAGATAGTTCTTTAACAGGATAAGGTCAAATCACTATACTCGGATCCTATATGCGCGTTTCGGAGACGTAGCACATACCGATGGCACGAGATTCCAGAGTTCTAGCAAAAGGTCTGTTGTCCTACTTGACACAATGTCCAAACATTAAAAGCTTCAACATGTAGTGTAGAACGGGCTTTCAGAGGACCAGGAATAACGTTTCGCCTACTCAAGTCGTTTGTATCAGCAGCGCGAGAAACGTGAGGAGGGATAGTCGTGGAGATAAGAGAGTTGTTAGGTGTACGAAGGATTTAATTCTGACCAATTTTTTCTTGTGTTCCTACAGTTATGAGAGCGGAAGTAACTTCCCGGCCGCTCACACCAACGACGGGTGTTTGTCGAGGAACCTAGATAGGAAGTTCGATTAGCTTTGGTCTTAGAGACCTGGGAGCGTGAAAGCAGAACCCAAGGGATAACTGATTGGCATTGGTCACGCACGGTCTTTTTATGGGAAGTTTGTAAAGGGTAAGCTCCGCTCTTGTTTAAAAGGCCTTTCCACCGAAGACAGAAACCAGTGAGGTAGGGTGATGTGAAACATATTTAGGGTCGACCTTTCTTAACCCCTTCCTTCTTTGTGAGAAGGCGGTATCACAGCAGGTGCTGGTTGTTCGAGGGAAACACCTTACTGCTGTCATACCCTTCTAAAGGCAGGATAACGAATCCGCTTTCAGACCTTGAGTTGCTGCTGCTAATCTGACCGTTCTTCAATCGACCTGCCTGGCATGATAGAACCTACAGGAACATATGTTCGAGCGAATGTAGCTCCTCGACTGTAGCTGCTCACTTGAGATGGTGGTCGGGCTTGCCTATCGTGATGACCCAACCAAGCCATATTGGCTGGAACAAATGTTCCTGAAGGTTCTACCAAGCCAGGCAGGTCGTTTGGAGAACGATGAGACTAAAAGCAGCTACTCAAGGTCTGAGGGCAATGTCGTACTACTGACTGTAGAGAGGTGTGACAGCAGTAAAGTGTTTCCCTCGGACAACCAGCATCTGCAGCGATGTTGCCATCTCACAAGAAAGGAGGCGTTAGAAAAGCTCGATCCTAAAAAGGTCACACCTCACCCTACCTCACGGATTTCCGTCTCCAGAGATAACAGTGCCCATTAAGGGCTTTTAAGAGCAAAGCTAATACTCATCAAAAGGACATGCGTGACCGGCCTCAAGCAGTTGTCCCTTGGGCTCTACGGTCGCGCTCCCAGACCAAAACCAATCTACCTTCTTTTTCAGGTCCCTCAAGAAACAACCTTCCACGGTGTGGGCAGCCGGGAAGTGACAACCGCCCTCATACCCGTAACAGTACGCAAGAGCGAATTGGTCAAAATCAAATCTTTCCAACACTCCCTAATACCTCTCATTCCCACAACTAACTCTTCTCACATTACTTTATCATAGTGCACAGCTCAGTCAGTCAGATGCAACGTAGAACTTTGTACGTATGCACATCAGTTCATGTTGCCATACCACATCAGCACAGAGATATAATTTTCAATACAATAGTTCACAGCTAATACAAACAATGCGAGTTCACGGAACGTCATTTCTGGTCTCCTGAAACCCCGCTCTAGACTACATGTTGGAGCATTTAATGTACGGACATTGTGTCGAATAGGGCAACAGGCCTCCTTAGCTAGGACATTAGAATCTCGCGCCATCGATGTATGCTGCGTCTCGGAAACGCGCATGCAGGATCCTAGTAAAGTCATTAATTTGATTTCACCTTGTCAAAATAAAGAAGCAGCTAGATTCACTCTTCGTGTATCTGGAAGCCCTGATGCTGCTTCCCGGGGTCTCGTTGGTGTAGGTATAGCATTGAGTCGTAGAGCTGACTGTCTCTCCTAGACTTGATATCTATAGTCGCTTGTGTGCTGTCCGACTAAACGAGACAGTAAGGATTTTGAAGGTAGGGACACTCGTTGTTGCCTCTTCGTCATACCAGCCTACGCCCCCTCTGACTGCACTTCAGACGATGTAAAAGATGAGTTTTACAGAAAGCTTTCGGACCTCCTTCAAAAAGCTAAGTGCTCTGAAATAGTAATAATGGCTGGTGACTTTAATGCTCAGGTAGGTAGAATAAGTGAAAATGAAAGACAACTGTGCGGATCTTCTGATGTCGCGGCTCAAAGAACAGATAATGGCGACTGTCTGTTGCAAGTATGCTCAGATAACCGCCTATTCCTAGCAAACACCAACTTTAGGCATAAGGAACAGCACCTTTTGACCTGGAGACCCCCAAAGTCGTCTCAACGATGGACCCAACTAGATCACATTGCCATCAGCCACCGATGGAGAGGTTCGATAGAGGACTGTCGCTCGTTCTGGAGTACATGTCTAGATTCAGATCATGCGGCAGTGTGAGCTTGTATTTGTTTGAGACTTACTGAACGTAGGAAAGACACCGCAAGTAAACCTGTTAGGGTTCGACCTAATGATAGCAGAGCTATGAATATATTTCAGGGACAACGAGAAGAACAGTCAAGAGACTATGTAAGCGATTCCCATCCGGAGGCAGGTTGGTATGATATCAAAAAGGCTGTGAAAACAGGAGTGGTATCTGCTAGCAAGGTAAACCATACGTCTAGTGAGAAGCCGTGGATCTCAGTAGCATCTACCGAACTGATAGATGCTGAAAAACTAATACCGCCTGGCTCTGAGTGCGATGAGAAACGGAGTCAGCTCAGACGCAGGCTGATAAAAAGCATTCGCAATGATCGAGAACAGTGGTGGGTAGCGAAATCGAGAGGCAATGGCGATAGGCAACAGTAGGCAACTATTCAAACTCATCAAGGAAACTGGTATTAGAAACCCGAATGTGAGTGAGACTAACTCGGAAAAGGATGGTACAACTATTCATTCTCAATCCAGGAGACTAAGTCGATGAGCAGAACACTGTAAGGATCAGTTTAACTGGCCTTCAGCATCATTTCGGTTACCTACGATCTTGAGTCATACTGAATAGCAAATCGAGGTAAGTCCCCCGACTCTTTATGAAGTTGAGACAGCGTTAGGAGATCTGAAGCGAGGGTGATCAGTGGGTCCTGAGATATTTAGCAACTAGACTGATTGAGATCTTAAGTAGAATCTGGGAACTAGACGCAACACCAATTCATAAGAAAGGACAAAATTATTCTTGTGACAATCACAGAGGAATCAGTCTAACTAATATAGTTTCTAAATTGTTAGCCTCGATTATACTTAGACGCCTTACTAGTGCTCGTGAAAAGCAGACTAGAGAAAACCACGCTGGTTTCAGACCCGGACGATGTTGTATAGACCACATCTTCACACTACGACAGGTCCTGGAACACAGACAAACATTTAGGCGTCCGACAATAGTTGTCTTCCTGTGCCTAAAAGCGGCATTTGACTCTGTTGATCGTTAGGTTCTCTGTCAGTGTCTGTCATTGAAAGGTGTAACAAAGAAGTAAATTAACCTTATACAAGCTCTCTACTCGAACACTACAGGTCGAGTGAGAGCTTATGGCGAACTGTCGTCGGAATTATCTACTTCAAGTTGTGTCCGTCAGGGATGTGTACTCTCCCCATTCTTGTTTAATTTTGTCATAGACATGCTCTTAGATATAACATTATCTTCGTCTGAATTTTCAGGAGTAGACCTTCTACTAGGAGGCTCGCTCACTGATTTACAATATGCCGATGACATAGTCCTACTTGGTGAAGACGCTGACAAAGTGCAGAGTCTTCTGACTACCCTAAGCAACAATGCAAGCATGTTCGGGATTCGGTTTCCCCCTCGAAATGCAAAATTTTGCTTCAAGACTGGGTTACATCGGCACCTGAACTAGTGATAGGGAGTGAAGTAGTCGAGCGTGTAGACCGCTTCACTTATCTGGGGAGTCTCATCAGAGTGGATGGCCTGGTGACTGACGGAATCTCAGCTCGGACACAGAAGGCTTGACTGGCTTTTGCCAACCTGCGTCACTTATGGCGCAGGCGAGATATCCGCTTGCTATCCAAAGGACGAGTGTACTGTGTAGCAGTTTGCTCTGTCCTAGTATACGGATGCGAAACATGGCCAGTCTGAGTAGAAGATATTCGTAGGTTACTGGTTTTCGATCACGGGTGTCTCGGAAACTACTAGTATATTCTGAGACCGTCGTGTAAGCAATGTTTGGGTTAGAGGTGGAGTTTTAGACGTGGCAAATCAATTGATAATGATTTATCGTCCGAGAGGGTTACGAATCCCTAACCACTGAATACCTTGACGGGTGATGCCGTCTAACATTGGAGTAAGCTACAAAAAGACTGCGGGTGGCCAAACTAGAATGCCACACCAGTCTATGAAGTGATTGACAACTGTACTGAGCCATGTTATTAGGAGTAAACTACCTGGTTCGGATCAGTGTGACAGTCGTAACTGATGGTTAAAGACTGACTGACATGGTTCCAAATCGTTTGCAGTGGTGAAGGTGCATTCATTACTTGTCTCCCCTTAAATTTGGAGCTTCAAATTCTGCACATTTCTTTTTAAAATTTATTTGGTTGGGATATTCTTCTTGAATTATATCTTAGATCCTTGATCTTTTATAGCACCGGCGATACTGTTATTGCCTCTACTACTTTGGGATATGATTTGACAACTTCATCTTTCTGTTCTAATGAAGTACAGCAACTTGAACTGATGTAAATACGTACCATGTTCTAAGTTGCAACTGACTGACTGACACATTATATATACCATATTGCCTAATCAATATATTTTCAATGTAATTTATCTTTGCACAAATGAACTTTGGATTTTAATAAGTTTAAGATGTATGCATCTTTCTATAAATACCAACTCACTTGGTTGGATCTGGCTGAAACAATTTCCGACGCACAAGAAATGTGCATCGTTGACGTAGTAAATGTGGTGTTGCAGACAAAGCTTCTGGCCATAGTTGTATGAGGTCAACTGGGAGATTAAGATGCCAATGCATAGTGTTGAAATTATCTGACAGATGTTCACGTTCTAAAAGTAATTCATAGTAAAAACAATATTGCATATTTATTCACTATGGTCAAGAAAAGAAAGGTTTACTCTTAACATTATCTAAAGCTAACGAAATGTCTCATCTACGTTAGATTTAAGTCACTATTATTTGTACGCAGTAGCAAGTATTACCTAAAGCAAGCTAACATTATTTCATTCTAAGCTTAAACCTTGGTTTGTGTTGCTTTCCAACACTACTAATTTCCACATGCAAGTACTCATTGTAATTTCAACTTTAATCAATATCGTTACTAAATTGAACCACTCCGTCCTTAAGATGGTATTAGTTTGTTGGCGTTATATCAGTGAGTGACTTTACAGTCTACAGACACTTCTTCTACTGACGACTTGTATAATGATATTTTAGAACAAAAGACCTAGAATTACAGTATGATTGGATACTGTCTCTCCGGTGGTTTAGTTTTGTTTGCATCAATGTTCTGATTTCAAAGCTTTTATAATGAAGTTCACTTCTGAATTCTCAAATTTCACTGATTAATGTCATCAATCAATACTTAAGTAATGCGGTTGTGTAGGGAGAATATGTTACCTAATTTACTGAACATGAAATTAATTGCTTGTTAGTCTCAATCTTGATAACTCAACTCCCTACCTATTTAAGAATATAAACACTACTAGTAAACTAAAAGGTTATAATGTCAATAGATGAAGTATTGAAACTGCATCAGTTGAGGTGGTTTGGACATGTGTTACGTATGTCTAACCACCGACTGTCTCGACGAGCAGGAACAGAGTGGAGGAAAGCTAGAGGCTGCCAAACCAAAGCACGGCAGAAATCCATAAAGTCACTGCCAACTGGATTAAGTCATGTTGGTAGGTATCATCGACTACCTGTTTGGGGCCCGCGAGATCATAGTAATCGATGGTTAGAGACCCTGGATGACATGGCTCAAAACCGTTTGCAATGGCGTAGGTGCATTGATTGTGTTCTCTCAAATCCCAACCTTCAGGGTTCCTCATCACCTTTATCTTTCTAAGTTTCTTTCACCAGATTTTACTTCTTGAGTAATATCTTCAAACACTAAACTCTACGATTACTGCTAATACTTCTGCTACTACAGGATTTCAAGTGACAATTACATCTCTGGGCTCATATGGTATGGCAACTTGAATTGATGTACGTACGTATGAAGTTATAAGTTGCTGATGATGAAAAGGTTATAGTGGGACTTCGTGTTAATTGGTTGCGTCAAATGATTTAGTGGCTTGCCTACTTTTATTTGATTGTCATATACATTCTTTAGTAGGTAAAACTTTCTAGTTCTTATATATTCGGGATTGACCTTCAAACATGAGATTGATCTTCCGAGAGCACAGATGATTACACCGATACTCGAGTGTACCAGAGTGGGGATGCCTTGAGTGCTCTCTTCCACTTCGCGTAAATGCTCAGGCCAAGCGCTTAGACCATTTTTCGAATCTTGAGAGCTTTGTGGCTGATGAGACGTTTGCACGGGTAAGTATAACCCACCGTGGTTCTATGAAATTGTTGCAGATCCGGCCCATGAAAAATGCTCATTTGTATACCAACTGGGTGAGTTTATCGCTAACTAGTTCACTCTATGTATCTATAAAGTATTGCCTAAGAAATCAGAAGACAGGTACACTGCAGGAGCTTGATCATAAGTGTCTCCAAGTCACTGCTCTCATATGGTGAAACCGCCAAGTGATTTTGAAGGTGGATTCAGGGTCTGAGAGAGAAAATACTAATTGATTGATGAGGACACCAAGACTTTCGTCGATTGAGATGCCTCGGATTTGTTACTCATGCTTAGATATTACTTAAATTGACGTGCGTAACCAATCGGGATGCCAGTCAACTGGGAAAAACTACGAACGAGTAGGTCAGTATGTGATATCACCAGCCCATGGAGTCACTGACTGCTGACCTGAGTTGTTTCGGTGTGTGCAGTTTCAGAGGCTGAGATTCACGAGCTAATTATAAACTATAGATCAAGGCGATCAGTGAAGTGATACCGGCACAACCGTTCGTTATCATAATTTTGGGAATAACTTTATTTTGTTTTTCATCATTCGATCTAGTTTGTTTTTTGAACTGTATTTTTAATATCTAGTTTTCTATCTGAGTTAAAAATACTTTCATTTTCTTTGCATTTTGTCGACTTTTCGTTGTGCAGCATTCAGAAGTATAGCAACCCAGATCATATCATATACTACTACGTCTTGAGTTGTCTATGTTCCATTGATTGTTCTATAGGAATATCCTATTGAGGGGAATACACACGGTAAGGCACTTATAGCCGAGATAGTGCGAATGTATTTTTTACAAAAACGAATTAAGCTATTATTTGATACATACAAATCACTACCACCTGTTAGTAATAATTATTTTGACCCACTTATCGAACCAAATTGAAAGGATGTGGTGGTAAGAAACTGGTGAGAATTACCTGTTATTAATATCTTCGGACTAGTTAAAACTAACTTATGTATAACTGACTGTGGAAATCCCATCATTTTTGACAGCACAACAAAAATATCCTAGAAAAGAAAATAATTGAAAATGTAATCTGAGAGTATATACGACTGAGCCAAACAATGTGATGTACAAACATTAGGTAGCTTTCAATTATTGGATTTGAAAACGTCGTAAGTTTCAGCTAACAAACAGTAAACTGTGCTGAAAAAAGATAAAGCTGATCTAACAAGCTTTGATTATTAAGTAAGGTAGGAATCGTTCAACAATTATTAAGTTGTGGTGGTTGAATAAACCATCTTGCGAATGGAGCGGCTGATAAGCAGTTGGAGTATTTGGGTTTCAACTAAAAGGCTGTACATTTGAAACAACTGCCCCTACTTCCACTAGGCGTCGCATTAACAGGATGACGAGTTTATAAACATGTGTCTGCTAAGTGAGCTGCATCTATATTTTTTATTCAAAACTAGTGGTTTATATGTTGGAATACTGTTCCACTAATTTCGGTTTGTGTTACCAGAGAGCCTTGCGGTCGTTACACAACAACCTTAGCTTGGATGCAGGTGTACTAGGTAATACTCCACACAGCTCTGATTTCATACATAATTTACTCGTGCAAAGTGCTTCACAAGTTTAAGTATGACTGAATATTTCAAACAAACGATATTCAGTCTGCGTTTGTAAGCGAAACTTCCATTTTCTAGAACAGTCACAGCTGGTTATGTGGGCTATCCCAAAGATGATATTTTCAAGGGAATATAAAAGATAATAACTTATAAGACTAGAAAGTTGTGAGAAACTTCCTTACTACGTTTGAACTAGGATTTAGTGCACAAAGACTTTTGATAAAATGCAAATCTCCAGTATATTGAAAGAATTACGTTTATAACTTACCCTAATTTTTGGTAGTGAGTGTACAATGATTTTAGGTTCTTTCGTGATCACTTCAACAACTTCCGAATCTAAACCAATTTAAAGAGAATACTACGCGATTGAATTACTTTTTAAATTTATCAGTGATTTTATTTGACCAAGATTTTTATCTATTTCGATGGACGGTTTTTCGAGTACTTTAGGAATTTGATTAATCATTGTTACAACATCTGTAGACGAAACTTTCCGGTCTGTGAAATAAGCTAATCTGGCACTGATTTCGCATAATGGTAGCTAAAACGAATTAACTTAAAATAAATGATACTTTAAGTATTTTGGGGAACGCTGTAATAATTCGAGCAATTTGTTCAACTTTAAATCCAAAATCTGAAAGTCGCCATAGAACAGGTTCAATATCATGAAAATCAAGCTTCACCAGCATATTCGCGACACCTGGAATAGCCTCAATTTTAGATAGATCAACTCCGAGTTTCACAAGCTGTGATAGGGTAGGACAACTGTAAATTTGTATTATTTAGAAATATACGAACATACTTTGGGACGTAAGCAGCAAGATTGGCAGAAGAGGGCGGCATACGAACCAAGTGGTTCAACTCTAATTCCTTAAACCATTGACATAATAAATCAATGCTTTCTTTTGGTGTTTGGCTAGTGTTTATATACGCTTTTATCCGTTTTGCTGGTAGTTTGTGGGTATTTGGTAAAAACTGCGTAGACTTCTGGGTTTCTTGAACTCCGCAAAGTAAGTTATTTGATCTTAGAGGTGCGACTTCCACACTCTTAGGATTGGCATGAGTAAATGATAACCCACACACTGGTTTCTCAAAGTGTTTCTCTGAATTCCACTTAGTAAACTTGAGAGTCTCGTGCATTTTGAAAGCCTTGGTATACGGTGGAACAGCTGAATTAATCGTGCTTTCCAAAGCATCTGTCCTAGATGACGGTTCTAAATTTACACGTTTTTGATTTAATGTGCTTAAGAGTGATTTCATATACATCTCATCTGCAGAAAAACTGTATTTGCGGAATGTGTGGACAACAGTGTCTTGAAGTTGCGCAACATGATAGATAACCCTGAACATTTAGGTTTTCCCTACAACTGTCAAGACAAATGCACTTTCGATAATTTCCTTAGAATTTCGTTTCCTGGGTTTAGGTTTTTTCTCTTCGCCAAGCTGGAAACAAAAAAAACTTTCTTAATTGGAAACGGAGGAATGTTGGTAAGTGATAAAAATACTAACGGCCGACATAATTAATTGCTTATGCAATTTATTCCATACACTGGTTACTAACTAGGGATATCCGTAATAGTTACGATACACAAATAGCTTAGAACTACACAAAAAAGATTTTTACTACGAGGTAAAGGGGAGAATATTATTAAAGGTACGAAACAAATAGCAGCGGTAAAACATATTACTTGGTTCGAAAATCCTAACTTCGAAAACCAGCTGGAAAAGTCATGCCGTAGGTATTGTGCACAAAATTTGAAAATCGGACGATTATTGAAGGAAGGATTTTCACTAGAAAATTATCAACACCTCAATGAAATGTGCTGTGGTGTGAAAATAGACCCCTTTGCTAAACTCTCTCCAATCTATGCAATGATATAATCTAATGTGAATTGCTGTCGGCATGATCACAGAAAAACGCTTTTTGAGAAACTCATAAAACAATTTTGTCTGAAGTAGAAACAGCATTTGGAAGAACGTAATCTCAACGTTAACAATAGCTCTCAAATTGCAAAGACGGACATATTATACATTATTGAGATTTGGGAACTGTAAATCAATCTGTTGGAAATAAATATTTTAAGCGTAACAATATCAAGAGTCCATAAAGACTTAAGACAGGTTAAGTGAGAATACACAGCTGGGTACGAGACCTTGAGGTATGAGAAGGCCTTGAGATAATAAGTGCGCGCCTCCTACATCCAATATCCAATATCTTTTTCACGAGCTAGTGTAAACCAATTTGATTTCTTCGCGCTCGATTCTTGTTCTTTCGGTACGGTTCCAGGTGTTCGGTAATGTCCAATGGATGGAGGTCTAGCCACTTGACTGTCTAATCCTAGTCAGTTGGCAGTTGGTTGTGAGTTTGTATGTCTCGGGATTTGAATGAAACGTTTGTTTCAGGGCATTAGGGTTTCTGGATACTAGCAGCCGTCATATTACCAAGCCGGAGATCAGTTAGTTGCGATGCGGAGAGTAATAAGGGTAATAAGGATAAAATTCTAATGATAATATGAGTAAAATTTCAGAAATGAGTAATATATAGATGAATTTAGTTTATTAATTGGTAGTGAAGATTGTGACAGAGGACCGAAGTGTAAGCAAGGGATAGGAAACAGAGACAGATTAATTGAGTGATCTGAGGAGATGGTAATGGTAACAACTAGCATCAGGCACAGCTTGTCCAAGAGGGAGATGATAGTCCGTAAGCAGTCCACTGAGGGGGCTGTAACTACCTCGGCTGGGAGAGCATTCCAAGTTGCGACGACTCGCAATGAGAAAAAGTGTGCACGAATCTGAGTGTTTGCTCTTTGATGTGCAATCTTTTGAGGATTGCCCCGAGGGGAGTGGTGGTGATCCATCGGTAAGATGCTCACATTGGGATGGTTTGGCTTGTTTATTATGGTGTACGCCATAATCAGGTCACCTCTGATTCTCCTGTAGCTCAGTGGGAATAATCCCAAGAGCTGGAGTCTATCGTCGTAGGGTTTATTTTTCAACCCTATCACCCATCTGGTTGCTCGTCTCTGCACTCGATCCAAGAGAATAATGTCTCTTTTAAGCAGAGGGGGTGCGATGACGTTGTGAACTTCCAAGCGTGGGCGCGCGTACGTCTTAAACAGGGTTGAAAATAATTTCGGGGTGATAGTACCAAGCTGTCTTCGCATAAAGTGAAGAGTCGCACTTGCCTTGGCTACATCCCCTATATAGTTCGGACTCGTGTGGAGGCTTTCTGTGGTTATTAAACCAAGATCGCGCTCTGAGGAGACATCAGGGAGAGGACTTCCATTGAGATTGTAGGTCGTTTGCGTCATATGAGGCAGGAAATGCATGACGTGGCACTTCGGTTGGTTGAGTTTTGAACCGTTTTTCACTGACCATTTCTCAATAGATGTAAGGTCCATTTGAAGCTCAGTCGAATCCTCTTCGCTTCTAATGGACCTCGAAATCTTCGCATCGTCTGCGTAGATCAATGCCAGTAAGCTGACTGAGCCTAGCAGGTCGTTAATAAATATCAGGAAGAGAAGTGGGCCTAGGATGGTCTCCTGTGAAACTCCTGAGGTGGATACTCTCCAACTCGCGTGCACCCTGTTTACCTTGGTGCGAAACTTTCTATTCTCAAGGTAGTTTCTGAGCCAAGATACGAGTGGGTCAGTGAACCCCATTTCCACAACCTTTTCGATTAGGCGTGCGTGGGGCACTGTGTCAAAGGCTTTTGCGAAGTCGAGAAATACTACGTGCACTGGTATTTTACGGTCCAAGCAGGATGTCCAACTGTCCCATGCGATGAGAAGATTAGATCCACACGACCTGCCTTTCCGAAACCCGTGTTGAGCTTCATGGAGTAGCTTATTCTTATCCATGTACTCCCTCATTTGTTCGTCCACTAGTCCTTCCATAACCTTTGATAATATAGGTAGTAGTGCGACTGGTCTGTAACAGGCTGGGTCCTTTCTATATCCACTTTTGAAGATTGAAGAGAGAATAGCTTGTTTCCATTCCGCTGGGAATTGGTGTGACTCCAGTGAATGCCTGAACAGGTTGCATAACGGTGAACAGAGGGCTTCAGCGCATTGTTGCAAGACTATAGGGCGGATTTTATCACAACCTGGTGACTTACCTGGTCAGGAGTGATACGGATGTTCCCTAAGCCGTCAGCGGGCATTGGGTGCGCGTAATACTCTGAACATGTAGGCGCCTGGTTTAATTGATCAGAAAAATGGGTGTTGAAGATCTCGACCATCTCTAGGTTGGTGAGGTCTTCTCCGTTAGGCCCTTTCAGGGAGCGCAACCCTTGATTAGTAGGTTTTCTTTTGGACATGAACCTAAACAGATATTTCGGGTTTGCCTCTATTCTGGCGGCTAGCTTCATCTGGAATTGTCTCCTGTCGCCTCGAACTTTGGTATTGCATCTGTTTTTCAATGCCAAGTAAGAACTGCGCCTAACCCAGGTTCTTCTGTTCTGGCGTCTTGGGTGTGACTGAGGTACGTTGTCTACGAAAGCGTTTTGGATGATATCCCTCACTGCTTGCCATTGATCATCTACTGTCAGCCTCCACCACACCCGTGGCCACGGGGCATGTAGGAGCACCTCTCTCATGCATGTGTAGTTTGCCCTACTGCAGCTCGTTATCGTCCGGTGTCAGCGTTTCATTTGTGACCATGTTAAACAGGACTGTGCCATGGTCACTACTACCTATTGGAGCGCGGATGTGAACATCCTCAACCAGGAGCTGGTCGTTCGTTAACAGATAATCTAGGTTTGAGGACTTCCCTTCCTTAGTCCACCTAGTGGCGCTGCGTACGTCATCCCAGAGCTTCTAATGGCTTTACCAAGTTGTCTTTGGAACCAACCAGTGGGAGTTATACTCTGATTGCTGAGATTTAAAGATGGGGTATTGAAGTCTCCAGCTAAGAGTATTTGATCAAACCCTAGGAGTGGCAGTTGCAGTATTACCTCAATCAGTTTGCTTTTCTGGGCCTTAGTACCCGAAGGAGTTCGGTAGATCCCTCCAATCAATTATTTCGTGTCATTCGAGTGGAAACAAAACTAACATGATTCTGTCACCTCAGTTAGTTCGGTGTCGTATAGTTGCTCTGCTTTTAAGTTGCTATATATATATATATCGCCACTCCACCTCCAGTTTGGTGATCCCTATCGCTTCGAAAGAGTGTCATGCCTGGTAAGCTCACTTCTGCGTCTGCAATGTCAGGGGATAGCCATGTTTCAGTTAGGATTATGATCTTCAGATCCATCTGAGAGCACATATTCCTGATTTCTAACAGCTTACCCCTTAGTCCTCTTACGTTGCTATAGAGGCACTTGATGGTTTGTCTCAGCACCTGGTGCACATTTGCAGCAGCAGCCTTTGTCGGGTTTTCAGACAAGTTATTTAAACCGAATCGGTTTGGTTCATTCATATCTTGTGCCAGAGGTAGTTGACCGAGTTTAACTATCAGTTGTGACTTGATAGACGTAAGGTGTGACGGGCAGGGCAACCTGGAAATGCAGACTGCCATCGTGGTGTGGAGGGATAGGCTACGCGATAGCCATCGCCACTGTTGCGTATCGTACTCGTGAGCTTCGTCAGGGTTACCGCTGGTGAGTTTGGGTATGCCGTGAACTACCATGGTGGTCTGTTCGTGGGTGTCTGGTGCAGCTCTGGCTGCTGCACGTACCGACCACAGCTTGTCATGCCTGATAGGAATCAGCGAGGACAATTTGACGGATGGTCTGTGGGACGAAAGGATTATAATAATAATAATAATAATAATAATTTATTCTCAAATAACAAACATGTTACAAGAGACATGCCAATTTACAGGCAAGATCAAAATGTTAAGATTAGCAACATATTTTTTTCTGAAAACGGTATAATGTTACTGAAACATTTCATAAGATTCATTGTTTTCTTAAAGTTGGAATGTACAAAGCGATCAATTGGCGCAAGTTACGAAGGTTGCGTTACGACAACCATCTTATGGGCTGAGAAATGATTCATGGTACAGACAGGTTTTCATATAACAAGAATTGATGCGGTAAATGTACAAAAGTCTGGTTGATATTCGTCAGCTAATGATTTCACATGTTCTTGGCTAGGGTAACCAAGTCTACTGCAAATATCCAGACAAATATATGTGGATTGGAATAAGGTTCTGAAAAAAGAGGAATAAAGAAAACGGGACGAGGAGCAGAACAGAAAATATTCATGTTCAAAGCCGAACAACGGCTTCGCACATACGTTTACGGATAAAACAAAGGTATGTTTACCCAAACATTTTAATATCAGAACACTTTACATCTGCGCTTATGTAGGTTAATGAAGACAATTCAGTAGTGAGATAACTAATGGGAAGTTAGTTGAAAGAATAGAGGAAATTCAGAAGAACCAAGTTGTTAGTAATAAAGTTGAGTTACAAAATATAATAAAGAGGATCAGTGATATAATTTTTTGGTTTTATTTATTCTTTTTATTTTTAAATCTGAGGCTCAAGAAGTTATGAATGAGCTCTTTTTTAGTATAGTTGTCCAGACCAGCTTGTAATAGGATTTCTCGGTAGGAAGTAAAAACCAGCGTAGGGTTACAGACATGGGTAGTAGACGAGGTTAACTAGGAAAAGTAACATCAATATCACTGATTTGTTACATCCTGCTATATCGTAAGGAGCCGTAAGCAAACAAAATGTTCTGCCACACAGACATGGGTAGATTGAGGTTATCGCCCCACCGGCATGAATGCTGGTCAGATACACCACCCTCCCTCCTTTTGTGATGTTAGGCGTAGAATCCTTTTTGAATGTTTTGTTTTTTGGAAAATCCCTCCATGTTTACATATTTTTGCTATGACATGACGGACTTTTTCTGTTGACATTTTTGGTACTTTATTTGATTCCAATTTGAGATTTTATCATTGTATATTGTTATTCTTTCTATATTTTGTACTTATATTGAAGTTTTTGTGTTTGCTTCTGAACTGTACATATGTTGTTTAAATTTGATATAATATGGCTACCGCCACATTTTTTTGGACGGACGCAGTGGCCGCTGGACTTAGCGTCACTTAATTGTTATTGTGTCTGATACTCTGCGGAGTAACTTTACCCTGGAAGAAGCACTATTTCCGTAATGCATTGTATTTCCATTTTTTAACTAATACAGAGACGCTTTCTCCTAGAATTTTGTCCGTTTTGAATTGGTTGGGACCCGGG